ATCGGCAAAAAACTCGGCCCGAATGGAACGAGTGCCGATATCTCCGAAACTTGATACTATTGTTGACGTAAATCACTACTCTGGTTTACATTTAACTTCGTTAAAAATGATGTGTAATTTAGCATATAAGGTTATGGTTTGTCAAGGTTAAGAGAAACATTCGGTTAATACATCCGGGTTGTTTCAAAAAAAAAAAAAATCCCTTTCATAAGAGTTTACAATTCTTACTTCATCAATTTCATTTATAGTTAATTGTGTATTTACTTGCATAATTGTAACAGTTTAGTAAATAAACTGTCTCTCTATTGAATGTTTAGCTAATGTGCTTAATTCCTTTTTACCTTTTAATAAAAATTAATTTAAGGAAAAATAATCAATAAAAATAATTGTAGATACATTGGTAACAATTGTACTATGGAGGTAGCTAGACTTGAGAGTAAATAGTATATAAATGACTTCTCGCGCAACAAACACATTAATTTTGTAAGTGATTTTCAATTATTTGTAAGTTTGAGCTAAATAACCCCGAAATAGGGTGAGTGTTCTAATTTCTTTAGTTTTTATTGCTCGCTTACAAGTTATTACCGTGGAGTATTTTATTTTTGAAATCACTAGTCCAATAAGTAACTTTGAATTCTTAAACTATTTCATTCCTTTATAATTGAAGATCAAACGAACTTACCAAGTGAAGTTCAGTCATATTTATGTGAGCAGTTTCATTCTTTGCGATTTAGATTCAACAAGGTGTAGTAGCGCCATCTACTGTAAGCCTCGCACGATAAGTTAAAAGCTTTTTATTAAATTAATTTTAAAAATTAATTTATTTTTAACAATTTCATTGTCAAATTACTGACAACACTACCCCCTCCATACTCATAGAGGGACGCTCAGACTTTCATGTTCGTCATTCTGTTTAAAGACAAAGATAATTATTTATTTTATAATCTGTTATTGGGTAGGGTTAAGGGCGGGTGTTTATAAATCGCTTCGAATGAAGCTGTTCACATAATTATGATCGAACTTCACTTGGTAAGTTCGTTTGATCTTCAATTATGTTTCGCAGCTTCATTCTTTGCGATTTAGATTCAACAAGGTGTAGGATATTTATAGCAACGATTATAAAATAAACAACCTTAAAATTAGGGTGTTACTCAAGAAACAGACTAATTATAATCACATAATAATCATTTATTGATCGGAGAATACAAATATTAAATAATCTACTTATTGAGTATCATTATTACATGAGTCAAGTATTGATTCAGCAAAATAATTGTTGTTAGTGATATCTTTATTATAAAATTGAGCAAAAGCGGCTGATGAATCAGACCACCCAGCGGTTTTTTTTAATTATTTCAATATTAACCCTTTACCGCATATGGTATCATATATGATACATTAAGAGTTTTCACAGATAAAAAAATATTGCATCCTTTAGGCGTCTATTGATGGTTGATATTTGAACCTTGATTGTATTCCGAACATGAAAAAAATATTTGCAGGTTGCCACGTTGTCTATTGTTTGTTCAATCTGTCATAGAAAATATGAAACCGCTCTTTATGTCAGTGAGCGTCGTTCGTGAACTAAAGTAGTCGTTATTTTATTTTTCTTCCTAGAACTAAAATATTGTTTTGTGTTTGGCGTGTGAGTAAAATGGATCCCAAGAAGTTTTACGAAAAAACATGTAAGTAATAACAACTACTTCTTGATGAAAAATCGATTAGAACTTTGTATCTGAAATGATACTGTATGCAGTTATGTCATTTTCTCGTTTTCAAATATGAGACTACATGCAATAAAGTTTGCATCAGTGCTCGATCAGATATGATACAACGTGCAATGTGGGTAGAAGAAATATTATTTATATATTTATAAATGATGACCTGTTTGGCGTAAGGGTAAAGATCATGGGCGTAGCCGAGAAAGCCAACTACCCGAGCAAGAGGGCGTCCTGCTCTATAACAATCAGAAATAAAGAAAAGGAAACGACGCATTGAACTTCCTCCGCAAGAAGTAGTATACGACGGGATCGGCCATTGGCCCAACTGGGAAGACAAACGGCAGAGATGCAAAAATTGCTCACGCCTGTCGTACGTTTACTGCAGTAAATGCCAATGTTTTTTTTTGTTTAAACAGAGACCGTAATTGTTTTAAAGAATTTCATATGGTTTTGCAATAAATAACTGTACATACATTAGTTATTTTTTTATTTTATTAAAAAATCCTGACTCCTTAAATATATATATAACGACTAAACTTACCTTAAATGCTTGTTGTATCACATGTGAATTGTTACCTTGACTGCATGTTGTATCAGATATGAGATTTTGAGAAACGGGTCAATTATTTCGCTTTCTAATTGTATAAAAATTTTAATAAAATTTTCTACAGTACCTATTAGGCCCTAGATTCATATCAATTAATTTGGGGCAAATCTGAAAATCCATGCGGTAAAGGGTTAACGCCTAATTTATTTGCCTTAGATGTGCTCGCATGTGGTGTACTGTGAGCACTGAATATTGTTAAATCTATACCACTCTCTTGCAAAGTCTTATTTAACCAATTACTAATAGTTTGGGAACCAATTTTAGAGTGTGGTTTCTTATAACTACTAAATAAATTACTATTAGTAACATTTGAACGCAATAATTTAGTTTTATCTATATAGGTTTGTAGGCATCTTGCCGGACAGATTTCTGGACAATTATTATAAAAAGGTAATCTTAAAAGAGGTTGTGGAGAATTTAATTTTGAGGTTTTTATCATGTCCGGTATTTTTATTATTATTTCCTTTTGATTTGTAAAAATATTATTAGTTTTAATCAAAGAGAGTGTTTGTACACGATGAGCAGTAACCAAGGCAAGTAAGGTTACGGTTTTTTCAGAAAGGGTTTTTAAATCAAGACTTTCATTAGGCCATTTTTGTGACAAAAATTGTAAGACAATATTGGGATCCCATGTCATATTATATTTGGGAGTACTTGGTCTTAATTTAAAAATACCCTTCATGAAGCGCTTAAGTCTATCATCATCGAGTTTTTTTCTCAATAATAGAGACAGAGCAGATTTATAAGAACTGATTGTCCCGTACTCGGCACCCTTGTCAAATATTTCTGTAAGAAAATGAATTATTATTGGTATAGATCCAATTGAGTAATCATAATTATTTTTTGAACAATAATTTAACCAATTTTTTATGCATCCGTCATGTTATTTGACAAGGATGCTAACATTATTTTAACGGAGCTCGGCGATAAGGCTTTCTTTAATAGAGTTTGCCGGATAATCTCGCGGCAGCTAGTGTCAGAGTGTGGTGCAGATTGTGGCCTGACCTGAAAGGGCATAAACCTCCAACGAAGGCGACTCCTTTTTACTAATTTTATTAAACATAAATCACTAACAAGTCTAAACTAGACTGATAATCGCCAACGACGATTATATTAATATATTGTACAGGCATAACCACTTATCTTTGTTGTACAAAATTGTACACTCAACTTGTAACGTAACTAAACTAGACTCTTCAAATGAATATATTATTCACTTACCCTCACTGTCCCTTGATACACGTCTTCGTTGTTGTAATTTATTTTCCAACTTCCTAATCTTCTTTTCAATTCTAGCTTCTTTGTCCTCACGTTTTCTTTTGTTCCCCATATTTTTAGAAAATATATATATCTACTCGCTCTAAAGTTTTGCGGACGTGCGGAGGCTACAGCACGATAACACGGAATGACGAACATGAAAGTCTGAGCGTCCCTCTATGAGTATCCCTCCATACTTATAGAGGGACGCTCAGACTTTCATGGTAGTGTTGCCAGTAATTTGACAATGAAATTGTTAAAAATAAATTAATTTTTAAAATTAATTAAATAAAAAACTTTTAACTTGTCGTGCGAGGCTTACAGTAGATGGCGCTACTACACCTTGTTGAATCTAAATCGCAAAGAATGAAGCTGCGAAACACAATATTCAACATTTTCATTGAACATTTAATTCCGAGATGAAGATCTGGTTCCTCTTCCTAGCGATATTTCCCTATAACATAAACAAATGTACATGCAGCGTCAAGATTTGGTGAAAGATTTCGGTAATATGCAGAATGACAAAGACGTTTAGAAGGGCGGATAATATTATTACATTACTTAAGTTTTTGGTTAGGAGCGTTCTTGAGTATTATTCTATAGTTGGGAGCGTTTTTGAAGTATCGTGCGTAGCTATAATCGGGGGACAAATGATTAGTGTTATACTAGGACATTTTGTTATATTATATTGTTTGTTGTTTTGTAGCTGTGCCTTTTATAAATAAATAATATAGACGACTTAGTTCTCCCAATTATTTTGATATAAAAGCAATACTAGTGATGCAATTTCACAATTGCACAAAGGTCATTAAACCTTTTTAATGATGACCTTAAGCTCTCATGAATGTTCTAAATTTGTAATTTTGTGTTGTTAATTTCGCTAAACTAATGACAATATAAATGGACGTTTGTGCAACTAGGTCTAAGTGAATATGAATGAAACCAGATTTATGTGAAAAGTCATTTATTCGAATGAAAAACTTCAAAAATACACAAATCACTCAAGATAAATCACGTTTTTTGAAAAGTAAGTAGGTGCTCTCGTAGTATAGACATTATCCTAACTCGATCACGACTACACGTCATCTACGAGCGACGCGATTCACACTATTGGAAGTGAGGGGGGGGGGGGATGAAAAAGACACGTGTGTGCAACGCAGCGCAAATATTACTGTTATGTTTAAATCGCATAGAGAGTGCGGGCCCTCCGACGGACTGCGCCGATCAATTTCAACGGTCAACATGAGGACGGAGACCGCGTGCCTACTTCGTTCTACAAAATTCGATATTAGAAAAATAGAAGGGTCTTAAATATAACCGTTCGATCTATTTACAAAGAGTATCGATCTAATAGTGAAGGAATCGACGTTCCTCGAAAATTATTGTCGAGCGACGACGTAGGGGGCGGCCCCGGGTCAGGGAGGGCGCGCACGTTGCGCATCGTCGTCGGGGAATGGCGGCTCGGGGCGCAAGCGGTAGCGGGCGGCGGGGGCGCGGGCTGCGGCCGGCTGCAGGGCGGCGGGCGCGCCTTCCTCCACTGCCCTACAGCCGGCCCCCGCTCCGGCTCCGGCCCCGGCCCCGAGTTCAGCGCCGTTGACCGCCCGCGCGCCCGCTGCCGCCGCAAGCGCCTCGCCACGCTCCAGGGACCACTGCCGTCGCAGCACACGCGCACTACCCGTCAGGCATCTGGAACGCATAGGATTAGTTCATCCGGCCCGGTTTCGATTCAGTGCTAACCGATAGATCACGTTCGAGAGATACCTGTAGCGTGAGTACGAGGCGCTGTGATCGATAGGAGGTGCGCGCGGCGTGTGCGGGGTCCGCGGCGGGCTGCTGTCCGCCGATACCGCCCCGGAACGTTGCCACGCTGTAAGAACGAGCGACATCGTAGGAGCCGTTCGAGAATTCAAATATGTGATTGTGTCATCGACTCAGTATCCTCGGTCGGTAAGCTCACCGTATTTATCCGGAGCGGAGGAAGGGTCGGAGCGCTGTCGTTCGATGGCCTGCGTGACACGCGGCGGCGTCGGAGTCGCGGTCGCAAGCGACGACGGTTCGCTATCGTTCTCGCAGTCGGTCTCGAACAACACCTCCTCCGACCTGTAGGCAAATCAAATAATAATCATCGTTGAAATTCAATGATGAATTCCATCTACAACATGAATGTCAAACGGGTATCGAGTTCAATATTTTATGACGCACCGTTCCCGATATCTCCGACAAAAGAATCGCGATCTATACGGGTGCCGAGTTCTCTGTTTACTCTGTTCTTTTGTTTACTCGGGACGGGATATCGATCCTCAAGAAACTGTAAGTTTCAATTTCATTTACTTACGTTATAAGGCTGTTGGGTCACCGATTTACATAAGTGAAAGTCATAATATCTATATTCAAAGTACTTTTGAATAGTCTAACTTTTTTTTTTACTACAAGTCCAGAACGTCTTTTGGCCGATGAAAAGAATTATCCGACCTGTGCAGTAGTTTTGGAGAGAATAGGCCATGACAGACTGATAGAGAGACAACTGAATAATCTTTTATGGGTTCCTTTATTGGTGTGAGACTTCAATGATGCGACTTTTTATTGCGTAATTTCTAACGTATCTATCGGGAGCGGCGGATAGAAGAGGGTAGTGTATATATTAGCGTGTCCCTTTATATTTTTAGTTCTTTATTTTTTTTACGCATACCCTTTTAAAGTGTTACTTAAAACGAATTACTGACTAGATAAAAATTTAATAATAATAACGAAATAAAAATTTTTGGACTATTTAATAAACAATAAACAAACAAGCTGTCTAAAAAAAACTACGGGTTCCACGACGCTGCGCCCCGTAACCACGAGTTCCTTTTGTCAACGCTAAGCAATTTTTAAGAAAATCAGTTCGCTATTTTTTTATTTTATTAATATGTCAATAGAAATGCAATAGATTTTATTAATATGTCATTAGAATTTTCCATATTGACTTTCCGTTACAGAACATTCACCTACACAATATATATATATATACACAATATATACCAAATTTTATAAATATTACTGCATGTGCCATTAGTAGAACTTTTTATTTTGTCTTCTTTAACAAATTTACAATTTCATCCTTGAATTTCTGCTCATTGTGAACAAAGACATCAATATACTTTTTTCAATAAACACTTGTTATATTGAGTTGATATGCTCATTAATAATATTATACACACGCAGGTCGGCGGTCGCCATTAATATAAATATCTTTTATAATTAGGCGGTTCTTATGTGTGCCTGAGATAGTATTGCCTTTTAATAATCGTGATTTTATTTGCATTACAATATTTCTTGGTCGAGCGGGTTGGTTAGATCTAGAAGAGACTCCAAACAATTTCCAAATTTAAAATAATAAATTAAGTTTTTAGATTAGCAGTCGTAAGATCATTCATTTTTGATTCAAGAGGTGAAATTTTCATGTATTAATAACTCTATCATGTTATTGGCACTCGTACTGACCACTTTTGAATTGCACCGAGTTCTTTAGATCAATAACCTTTAACAACGTTTCCTTTTGTTTGGAATGTCTCGACACTCCTGGCGTACACTGCTAATGTCGGCTTTAACTGCAGTAAAGGTATCGTTTAATTTTTCCATACCACTTTTCAGTACTGTCGAGTTATGTTTTATAATATTAAAATGTGTACCTACGTACAAAACCTAAACCGACGGAAAGTTACTTTAAACAACTGTTAGTATTTTTCTTTATAAAGATTAATGTTTATCTTATTATATTTATTTTAAAGCTAATCAAAATGTCAGATTTAAAGGCAATTACTTATAATCTTTGAGGCTTAGTGAACACGGGTTGCAATCATGCTAGAAAGTTAAAATTTTGTAGTTAATGTTGTGGGTATTTCACACATTTCGAAAATAGAAAATATTTTGTTGGTCATACAGGGGACACCCTATTATATACGTATAGAGGTATAGCGCATCTCACGGGAGCGGCGGCGGCACCGGCAGCGTTTTGTCGAAACCGTCCTTCCCGAGCAGCCAGTATGTGTGCATGGCGCCCTTGCCCTTCACTTGCGTGAGGCCGCGGGACCGCAGCCGATACCCGCCGGCCGCCGTCAGCCGCTCCGCCGTCGCCGCCGACACCTGGATCCGCCACGCCGCACCTGCGATGCAGCTTCACATCACCGCCGAGACCCGACGATATAGTATATTACGGTCTACGTTTCTTTACTATTCTACGATTACGGCATCGAAACGTTCGCTTTTAGCATAAACGAACAGAAATAATAATTATGCAATCGAAGGGAGGAAGAGAAAGGTGTGGACATATAAAGTGGCGAAGCGGTCGCACCGACCGGTGGACTCCATGCGCGAGGCCGTGTTGACGGTGTCGCCGAAGAGGCAGTATCGCGGCATGGTGAGGCCGACGACGGCGGCGCAGCAGGGCCCCGAGTGCAGGCCGATGCGCAGGTGCAGCGGCGTGTCGGGCAGGTGCCGCACGCGGAACCGCCCCGCCAGGTGCAGCAGGTGCAGCGCCATCGTGGCCACGCTCTCCGCGTGGTCGCGGCTGCGCGCCGGCAGCCCGCCCACCACCATGTACGCGTCGCCGATCGTCTCCACCTTGTACACTTTGTACTGTTCGATCGCCGCGTCGAAAGTAGTGTACAAGTCGTTCAACAAATCGACCACCTGAAAGCCGAATCCCTCCACATTACTGTTGTTTGATGTACCACTATAAGGATAGCATTCAATCTAAAGAAAACGTGAAATGAAAAATGGATTTGTACCGGCATCACAGATAAGTAATCGAACAATTGAATTTTTAATCTCATTTTGGCACTCGGAGTAAGCAGAGAGGAGAAGAGACGATAATGATGGTAAAGACTCCGTTTTGCATCGAAATTGGTAAAAAAATATAGATGTTCTTTTGTAAATATAAGATACTAGTCTGCCGCCAGCGGCTTCGCCCGTGTGATCTAGTTTTAAGTCCAGAAATGAGAAAATTCCATAAAAATTTAATCTCTTAATTTACCTTCTTAGGGGTTGAATTTCTTAAAATTCCGTCGTAGTGAGCACCTATGTCCTAAAAAGAACCCGCATGCAAAATTTGAAACTCCTAGCACACGTAGTTTTAAAATTTTCACTTAGAACAAAATTATGTTCTATGATAAAAAGAACATGATCGCCGATAAACCCGGCAATGCAAATGTTCACTGTATAGTAAGTATTGTTTGGTCGACGCGCTGCACCAGGCGGGCGGGTACCTCTCTGTACCTGCACGGGCGTGGAGCGCGCCGCCAGCGCGGTGAAGCCGACGATGTCGCTGAAGTAGATCGACACCTCCTCGAACTCCTCGGGCTCGACGCGGGACCCCAACATGAGCCGCTCCGCCACTGATCTGGTTCAATCAATTTATACATATGTAAAACGACATTTTATTATTTGACATTAAAATTGTAAGATGGCGTTTATAAATATTTATAGAACTCGCCATCGTCTGTTGTCTTTTGGAATCATATAAATTTATCGTGTATTAAATTTATTAGCTATCCGATGAACCCTGTTGTGTACAAAAGTTGTTTCTTATTGAAGTATACCCCTGCTATTAGAGTTTAATAACCAAAAGTTGTTCAACAGGCTCCAGGCGCATGTTATGATGATATTTGATTTCGACTATTTGATATACCAACGATAAAGCTAGAAAATATTTTTAAGAATTATGTTGAAGATCTTTTGTTTGCGACACCACCAGAGAAATGGTCGTTATAATAATAATAAATAATCCTAAATTCAAACAAGCGAGTACCTTGGGAGCATCCTATTAAGAAGCTGCTCGGTCTTCTTCTTCTCCATATCCAGTTGCTCGGTTCTCTCCCTGATCAGTTCCTCTAAATTATTGCTATATTTCTCGAGCATCTCGAACATAGAGTCGACAATGTTTATTTTACTGAAAAAATAGACAACATTTCAAGCATTCGTCGTAAAAATATTATAATCACGTTACTAGTTGAACAGTAAAGTAACACGATCAACGACTTCTAGAAGTCTTTAAATACTTTTTAAAAATGATACTTTGATATGTGGGAATGATACTACAACTATTTACAAATATAAACATAAATGATGATGAAATATGGTCAGACATGTTTTGCATTCTTTGAAAAGTTCCTCCTGAAAATGCCTTAATTAAAGTAATTAAGTTGTCGTTTTGTGGAATTAGTGATATTGTAAACTTTTACATGTTCTTGTAACCTATTATATTTAACAAATAAGCAAATGAAAAATGTAAGGACTGACCGTCCGCGGTGCAGGTGTCTGAAGATGTCATGCAGACGCTGGAAGTCAGGGCGCAGGTCGGGCGCCTCGCTCCAGCACTGACGCATCACACTCACGGCCTCTGGCGGCGCCGCGCCCATCGACACGGACGGGCGGATCAGTGGCGGAGGGTGCGATACTTTTTCCAGAATTTCTGAGAAACAACCTTCGAAGATGCAGTAGGTAGAAGATATCTTTATAATATCGTTCAATTTATTAAATCGAGTATTAACGATAGAGTCAATTACTAATTATACTGACTGATAAGATAGTGTAGATAGAAAATCGACAAGATATTTTTAATTACGCACCGTATAATGATCTGCGGAGAATACTCTATAGATGAAAATTACCCACCGTCAGGAGTGAGGGCTAGCATACAGTAAGGCTCGCCGCGCACTATCACCTCCTGCATGATAATGGCGAAGGAGAATACGTCACCCGGCTGTGTGCCACGTCCAGTACCGCGGGACTCTCGTAACAGCTCCGGCGCCGTCCACAGTAGTTCTGAATATATTTTGATTTATTTTTATATATAATATATATATAATTTTTATATATATAGACTTTATAATCTATATATATAAAAATTTTGTGTCACGATGTATGTTGCCAATAAACTACTAAACCGATTTCTATCAAATTTCACATGTAGCCGTATTTTGGTCTAACTTACTGGATAGGATAGTTATCATCTAAATTTTTCGCTTATGTCGTGAATGTAAACAAATAAAATGTTCTAATTAATTGTTTCTTAAGTAAGTGTTTATTTACTGTTTAGTTTTATGAAGTTCTCATAGATGGCGGTGTATGTTGATTCATAGATAAAATTCTTCAATATCGTTTGACATCTAGGTTGCAAATACACCCAATAGATGGCGCTGTGTTCCAGATGGCGTTTATTCTAAAGTAATCTGCGGTAACGTTTCTTTCAAAGAATTTCGCGTAGATTACGTTTTCGATTAAGTTTTGTATAAACTTCAGAACTGTTTTTTTTCATCTTTATTTCAAATTGCATTTAATTGGATTAATATCTCTATAGTTTCAAAGATAAATGCTGAAACATATTGGACATTCGTTGGTATTTGTTGTACTATCTTCGAACTTAAACATCAAGGTAATTTCATCATCAGCTCAAAAAACAATAAGGACATTTTTTTTTTATTAACTAAGGACAGTTTCCTACATATATTAGCATAAACTAAACAAGTAACTTCATTCAAATAAGTACTTAAAAACATTTACCAAGTCGTGTCTATATTTGAAAACATTGTAAAAATGCATAGCTGGTTATAAAATAATGTATCAGTTAGGTTCACCTCTAGACGATCGCTCAGATGTAGGTAATCCTTGCGCTCGGTAAAATGCTGGCATGCCGTAATCGGTGACACGGAGTACCCAGCGCGAGTCCACCACGCAGTTGCGCGACGACAGTCTACCGTGCACGCGCAGGGGCGATGCGTGTAGGTACCGCATGCCCTTCACCAGATCAGTCAGTAGTGAAAGGCGGAAAGTCCAATCTAGTTTAATCTCATCTGCCATCAGCACGTCTTCGAGAGAGCCGCGTCCGCAGTGATCGAACACCAACGCCGGCCGTGCTTCACATAGGCACCCTGCACACCATGCCACCAATAATGAATAGATAAAATATTTTACTTAACAGGATATGTAGAGCTACCGGGCGCTCTTTGACCGGACTTATCCATCCGGGTGAGGTGAACCGTAACGGGTTTATGAACGAGCCCGAAAGGTGTACGAAAAGTATTACACGCGTACTCGATCAGTCTCATCTCGCCTACGTGATGGAAACGAGAAAGAATTTTGCATCCAGGGCGTCCACCATAAAGTCCATTCGGAAATTTTGAACCACAATGGCTAATGGTCCGGGCGTGCGTGGGTGTGACACCTTGGTGCAGGGTACGTAAGACAGGACAGGTCGGAGAGTTGCAGTCAGAATGAAGCTGGGGACCCTCCAACCGCGTAAGACTTCGTTCCTTCGTCTCTCTTCCTACCTGTCTGCAAAACGCGATCTCATTTCCTGGTGACCTTTGTCATCGGGGATGGTGGCGCCGTAGACGTCATAGTAAATGACAGAAGAGGGAGAGATAGATAAAGGGGCAGACCAGGTGATTGACAAAGACTGTCTAGGAAGAGGCTTACAAATGGGATGGATATGTGTTTCTCTGTTCATCGCATTTGTAACGTTCTAGAAGAACTTGGTGGCAAATGTGTCCCTTTATTTTATCTGTCCATCGAATTTAGTTAGACTTAATTGAGGGTTGATGACCGGCATCTTGAACATTCGTTGTCAGTGTTGCTAACCATGACAAGCTTATACGGCTCGCAGGAGCAATATTACTAACATTCAATAAAACAGGGGTCTTTCGTCTATTAAAATTATTGACACATTTCCCTAAATTAGTTGGGATTTTCGAATTTCACTTACGCGCGCTTACTAATTATAATTAGTATGAAAATATCCATTAATTATTTATATATAAAAAGATAACGTATCAATCTACATTCTAATAATAATTTAAAAAATATATATATAATAAACTAGCTGACCCGACAGACTTCGTCCTGTCAAAAAGATTTGTAATGTGGCAGTTTTTTTCAAATATAAATTATTTTTTCACTAATCACGAACTAAACAAACACTAACTAAGTAAACACTCTGCACAAAACACGATATACGAATTTGTTTCGTGTATCAGTTGACAAAAGCAAACTCAGTAGATTAGGTCACAGACAACTTTTTTTTTTTTTTAATTTGATATGACTTGAAGTCAAATCCTTTTAAGCCGTACGAATTGTTTTATTGATTTAAAATTTGGATATTAAAAATAATAAAACACTGTTGGTAACGCGATTTTTGTTTGACTGATGTAATGACGTGGAAACTGATGCATTTTATCTCGCGTGCCGAAACTAATACAAAAGAAACGCGAGTTTCGGAACGCGACATTAAACTTCTCCAACTATGTATTCTGTGCTCCAACGCACACACGCACATTGTTTTGTGATAGATATGATCTTTGACGTTAGGAACACACCTACATTGCTTAGACAACAGTGAGTGCTTGTAATTTAATATGAACTTTATACCATAGCAATAAAGCTCAAATTGACTACGTTTTAGTTACAAATCATTTGTATGGGAAAAAGAAAAGGGCTATTTTTAGGGTTTTTCCAGCAATAATTCTAATTTTTCTCGCCGTAAAAACCATCCTTGAACTTCAACGAACATTTTAAAAAAAGATTTGGCCAAATTGGTCGAGGCGTTGTTGAGTTATGCGCTTACCAACACATTTTGCGATTCATTTTTATATATATAGATATACATATATCGTTTGATTGGAAGTGATGTCATTTCAGAAATAGCTTTCAGTAACGCCGTGAATAAAGTATCCAACCACTCCTTCCCTAGTGACCTTCTTATCTATGAGTCATGTCTGATTTACGAGTTGTGGAGGTTAGCATTAAGTTTTATGTTCCATTGATTTATCATTTGTTTTTTCCTCATAATATTTTCTCGTGTATGAATTCGACAACATTTCTATTTTAGTAAATAGAGAGAATTTGTGTCATGTCATAGATAAAATATTTTATGTGTGTAATTCTACCATTGAATCTTTGAACAATTTTAAAATATGTCTAATTTATACAAAGTAGACATTATTTTAAGTTTCTGATACGGTTAAATTTAATAAAAAAACCTTTGAACTATAGCGAACTTGCTTTGAACTAATACTAGTTTCAAATGTAATAATTGTATTTTCTAATTTTCTTCTAAGTTCTTCTAAATTTATTAGTAATTTGGGGAAATTTATATTATTTTTACTTGAAGTTTGATAAGATGGATAATATTTATGCAAAAACTATGTACTTAAAAAACCGGTAAATATTGTTATCAGTATTCAAAAAAGTAAATTTGTGTTGTGTGTATATGTTTATTCTGAAAATAGCTCACCGATAAATGGATTGAGGTTCTCGTGTCGCAGGGACTGCATCACGAGCAGTACGTCGGTCGCTTTTAGCTTCAGTTCCATCACCGCGGCCGTCGGCAGATATTTCATATAGACCGCATCTCCCTGATAACAAGATCCAAGAAAGGTCATTATTTAAGCATATTAATGTATCCGATAAGAAGGCAGGTTAATTAGACGGTTTCACTGTTTCTAAAATATGTATGTATAGTATAAATATTGAGAATAAGAAGAAACCATCAGGATGTTTGGACCAAACGTAAAACGAATATTTTTCATAATATTGTAATTAATAAAATGAATAATGTCGTCAAGATACAAAGATCACCTTGTATCGGGTGCGTCGATCGAGGGCGACACGGTTGATGCTGCAGGTGGAAGAGGGCGCGGAAGGCGCGGGTGCCGGGCGCGGTGGCTGCTTCAATAGGTCCGGTCGCTCTAGTTCTGGTCCTCCGAACTCGTGCAGCTGCTGCAGCCAGCACGATAGCATTGTCTCCATGCCTTCACCGACACGGCGCAGTTCATCCGCCGGAAATGAAAACTCAGTCGGTACGAGAACAGCGTCCCCGCGCCGCTTCCGCTGTCGCCGACGCGTCGCTGCCCACCGAAAGCCTAGCGCGACCGCCGCCGCCGCTGCCACCGCGACTGCCAAACTCCCCGCGAGGAACGGTATCGATACTCCCGAGCCTATTTCCTCCTCCCGCTCCTCGCTCAGTCGCTCGAAACTATGAGTCGAGTTCGTCACCATAACTGACGCCGACCAATCCTCGATGTCCCGCTGGACTGCTGTCGAAGTTGCCGTTAAAATGGCTATCTTACTCCATCCCCTGACCGTGCTGTCCGTTTGTACTTTTTCATACAAAAAAAAATCCTTTCTCCCGATTACATCCATTCCGGTTCTGTTTTCATTCAGTTGGATGACGTTGAGAATTTCATCGTATGCCTCCTGTACAAGAAAAGCAGTCGGATATTCAACTTCGAGACGTCGTTGACTAAGAAATAAAATCCGCCGCCGCAGGGTGTTGCCCAGTTGAGAGACGACGGTTTCGAGAATCTTCAGGGCAGGGAAGGGCGTCTCCTCAGGTGTTAAGTCGCGCCGCATCCTGCGAGAGCTCTTCTCGAACATATCGACGACATTAAGTCGTTTTATGTTCCGTAATTTATATATTAGTAGCGAATCGTTTCTTACAGAATCAGAGCCGGTATCTGTTTTTATTATGTTTACGTTGTTTTCACCCCGAAAAACAGGCTTCGAGGTCATAGATTGCGACGTTTCGACTTCGTAACGAGCCCTCTTATTGCGATAGGGTGCCGCGGCTTTGTTTACGGATGAGAAGGTCGGCGGCGACGAGAAACTTTTCTTGTACGATTTCGGATAAAATAACGATAAATTTGAGTTTTCCGGTTGGGCCGTTACCGGGACTCGCGATAAATTTTCTATTTTTTTTCGGTAAGGCAAAGTTCTTAAATCTAGAGTTGTATTGCTTTGAGTGAAGGCGTGGGGGGCGCTGGGGGCGCGCGCGTCTGTGTCGAGCGGAGGCTCGTCGACGTGCAGGAGCAGCACCGTGGGCGTGGCGCGCGTCGGGGCCCACTCCCCCTCGACTGCGGCCAACTCACCGCGTAGAGCAGCACATATAACCACCACTGGAAACAAATTAGATATTCTTGAGGAAGAATTGAGTAGCCGTCTTTGATTATTTTGATAGTGATGATTTAACCGATAACTTCCATAGATAATACTTTTGTGTTATGTAATACCAATACTTGTTAAAAATATTTGCATATTTGAGATTTTGAAATTCAAATAATATCGTTTGCAATACTTTTACTTTATAATTTACTTCCCTAAAAGAGACCGATGTGTGCGAATTCAATCAGTGCAGTAGCTTCAGAAAAAAAACTGCTATGACAGACGGCCGATAATCACTCGAGTGACCTAACGTTGCAAATAAGTTAATTAAACAAATAACTGTATTAAAGTCTCACAAAGATGTAGGATCTATACGAGCTCTCTTAATATATATCAAATGTCAAGTTTGAAGAAGCCATCTCCCCGCCGAAGGGGAATAAGACAATGTTATTTATAGGTCGCCATGTAAACCGTAACGTCGCTCGTGAGACTTTGTTGGCAAATTGATGGAAAAGTTGTAACAGTGCTAATAATAAACTTTGTTCCAGAGAAAACAACAAAGTTTAGGAAATTAGTAAATTATTTATTCAAAGATTTGGTTTCGATTACGAAAGCGTTAAATCTAGTAGGTATCAAAGATATTCCGATTTAAAAATTGTTTTTAATACTCTAATTGACTGCATTACTCCTTAATACTGTTATACTCTAATTACTGTTACCTATGGTAGTCAATAAGACCATCTTATAAACGTCTACTGTACGGTTTTCACGGTCAACATAGTACAATATGAATTCTTGTCTATTTCACGTTTTATAGACTCAAATAAATGTAGGAACGGTGAAGAGTGTCGTTTCACCTTGGGGATGATAAGATAGCTCATCGGTGGAGATAGGCCCCGTTCGGACGGAGACCCCGGCGGTTATGAAATTCCTGCGCACGTCTCGTAGCGCGGCCGAGCACTCGGAGGACTCCGGCGCAGCGACCAGGAGCGTGCGCCTCCAGCGCAGCCGCACGGCGAGCCAGCCCACGACGGCGGCGCGCAGCCGCGAGCGCGTGCACGCGGGCAGCGGCGCCAGGCGCAGCGCGCGGGAGGCCGCCTCCAACGTGCCGCACACGCTGCCCCCCGCCCACCCGGCCAGAGCCACCGGCGTACCCGCACCCATGGACGACAGTGTGGCTCGCATTACAGACGCTTTCCATTTTGGCCCACAGGTCTCTAGGAAAAACGTGTGCCGGGTTACTTAAGGCTATTCGCTATATCGCTACGGGAGAGAAAAGTTTTAAAAGCGTAATGACCCGAAGAGAAAGAATAGAGGACGATGTCAGTGCAGAAAAACTCAATAGAACTGGCATAAGTGTAGTATATAATCATCTAAAATTAACTATGGTGTGTTAGCTAAAAGCCTATTAGGTATTTTGATTTTAGTGTTCACCTGTTCTATTCTAGGCGTAGTGGTTAAGCGCCGCGGCCCGCGTTTGTTGTCGTTAAGCAACTTTCGCAGGGATCGGTCACGGGATGGGTGACCAAAAAATTATTATCTCGAGCTACTCTGTGCTTCGGAAGGCACGTTAAGCCGTTGGTCCCGGCTGTATTTGCAGTCGTTAATACCCTCCAATCCGCATTGGGCCAGCGTGGAGGGTCATGACCCATCAGTCTTAACCGTCCATAAGGAAGGCCTGAGCCCCTGCAGTGGGGACATAAAAGGGCTGATGATGATGATGCTGTTCTATTCTGATGAAATAAAATATTATTATTGGAATTTTTATCTTTAGTATAGATTTATGTTTTATCCCACTACGGCGAAGCGAAAAAGAGGGTTACGACTTTGGCCGGTGTGTATGTATGTAAAAATTCATCTGTTGCCTTATAACTTCGAAACTACTCATCGTAACTGGAAAAATGAGGTATCATTAGAAGCATCTTAGTTATCTGCGTACATGAGCTACATGAGGTTATATTAAATTGGCAACAGCGCCCTCTAGAGGAAAATAAAGTAAGAAACTAAAAAAGAAAATAATCATTCAGTATAGGTATCAAATAAAAGGGCTTAAATAGCACATTTCAAAATATTGCTTTTGTTAGTGATTTTGCTTGCTTACACCCGAAAGATAATAAAAAAAAAATTATTCGAAAATTAAAACCCAACACTAACTGCACGACCGCAGCTAAATCACGATCTAATAAGTTTGAAACAAGAAATTTATTTTATAGCGATAGCTATATTTTAATATCGATGACCAAAAGACAGCGTAGTCGTATGCCACAAAAGTTTGTTTTGTTATGATCATTGGTGTATTTCAAATAGCATTTTGTTCGAAGATGAATTTTCGAAACATTTTCAACAAATAACGTATGTTTAGAAGGTACCCGATACCTTCGGGTTTCGGTCGGAGCGTCACTCACGTTCGTAGCTCAAAATATGGAAGGGGTGTCGGAGCAACAACGCGCGGCCGGTGAGGACGGCGTGGTGGCGCAACCGCGTCTCGTCGAAAGCGCTGGGGTCGTTGGCGACGCACGCGGCACGCAGCACGAGCAGCGCGGGCTCAGCGGCGGATGCGACGGCGACGGCGGCGGCGAGCGCGAGCAGGGCCGGCAGCGCGCGCATCGCGCTGCGCCTTTCAGGTGACGTCCGCCTCCTGCATGCCTCCGGTCTCGCTCCGCTGCACCGATTACGTTCTCAGCCGATTGACCGAGATCAAACGGCCGACCTTGTTCGGTCCCGCCTGTTACGCGAATACTCCGATCGATTAGCGAGATATGTGCGAGATCGACACTCACTCGCCGGTTAAACGAAACTTAAATATTCATAAGATTTCATAACTAATAATTTTACTCAGTATTCTTAATTCATTTAAAAATCGAGGAGTTATTTAATAACGCTCTGCCCGTCGCCGTAAACTTGTACATTTAACATTTTCAATATATACCATCATATCTAAAAGCTCTGTCACCCTCCGGTATGATTGCGACCGGCACAAGTTTGGAGTAAAAAGTTTCCAGAAATACACTTATGTAAAAAAATATATACAACATTTTGAATCAAAAGATATAAATATTGTGGACGTATCTACACGAAATTGCCAGGACTACTTGTATATAAAATTGTATTTGAATATGATTTTATAATAACATACATACACAATTTTAGATATTGATAAAATATAATTTAATTGTATTTTTATTATCTAAAAAAAAATCGTCGGCAGTTATAATTTTATTAAAGTAAATATATACAAACTTGTATAACCAAAAAGTTCCGTTTTAATACTTTTTGAGTAATTTTTAGAAGCTTTTATTTTAATTCCCTTGTTGTTAGTGCGCAAATCCGGGAGCTCAAATTTGATCCACTTCCCAATGTCTGATAGATTTGAAATTTTGCATAAACATGTAGGTCAGATGACAATGCAATATTATGGTGTCAGTGAGCTGATATGATGATGAAGTCGGAAGATGGTTATAGGAGCTAAGCTTTTAATTATTTATGTTTTAGTGCGCACAAATAAAAGCTTGTTTTAAAATACTTTTCAGTTCTATAAATATTTTCATATGTGTAAATAATCGATTAAACGGAAAGAAATAAGTATATGAACTATATTTTCCCGATGTTAATGTAAAAAAGTTTACAACACTTTAATTGATAACGTTCAACTGAGTATCAGTTCCGGTAATCTTTGAGTTACATTAATTTACTAGATGAGATCGTCGATTGTTATTGTCAACGTTGCGATCTCTGTCGTGTCCCGGAGGCCGTAACCCTGACATACATATACAACGAAAGGTCACATTTTCACAGACCGGAGACCTATTTTCAAAAAAATAAAAAACAACTGAGCGGGTGAATTCGTGCCGGTGCCGGTGGTGTACTTATGTTATGATTAAACAAAAAGTTGAGTGCGTAAACGGGCGTCGCACTCCAAAGAGTGGCACATTTGTGAAAAAAAAAATGAGATTAAAATTAAGAGTGGAAACGTCGAGCATCCTGGTTCACTTAACTGGAGGTTTCTGTGCTTCCGTGAAGAAATCAAACGCAAACCTGAAGCGAGCAAAGGAAAACAAACAACACAGTGCGTGCGTGCGGGCGTGCGTGCGGGCGGCCTCGTAGGCGCGTGTCGCGGGTGCGTGCGGGCGGCGCGCGGCGCCCAGTGCCGCGACGGGCCCCTCCGCCGCCACCGCCGCCGCCGCCGCCGCCGCCATCGCCGCCATCGCCGCCGCCGCCGCGCGCATGTGCCGCTCCGCCCGGGCCGAGCTCGCGCAACCGATCGACGCCGACACTGGACACTCGTCAGCCGTCCACTACCCGATGAATGATGCGTACGCACCTTGCCTGCTTCGTCGTACTGTTGTTTAAACGTTTCCCGAGATTATGCATAGCGGCTGTATTTTATCATACGTTTATTCAATCGTAGACGAATGATGAAAGGTTAGGCCGAGTTACACTGTAACGGTGCGTCGTACCTACGACTGCTGTTTATTTCGTCCTAAGTATCAGCATGATAACTTTTTGTCTTTGATCTTCGACATCATATATTTTTATTATTCACCTTTCGTAATTAAATATTTTGAGTAATCCAATATGTTCTTTATGAATGGCAGTTCTTAAAAAATTAATCCGGAGAGAACACGATAATTTAATTATATTATTTATTTAATCATATAAATCCAATATAAATTATTATTATTGAAATAAGAAACCTGTAAATGTACATCTTCATGAAATATCTACTAAGTTCTACCTGCTACAGAAAACCCAGAAACGGGGTTATGTAATTGTTTTATTTAACTTTTTTTTAAATATATTTAGGTAACCATGCAAACATTTTTGTATGTTACAGTTTTTTTCGTTACCCTTTAATAAATTCAGTTCTCAAGCTTAGTCAGCCTTTTATTTACTTACCTAAACATCGAACCCGTCACAACACTATTTAATTTTATCGAGATCTATCGATATTAAAGCGAGTTCAGACGGGTTGTATCGTTTTTATCTCAAAATAACTGGAAATATAAAGTTTGTAGGGCCTAAAAATTATGTGTATGTCGTTTGCGCTAAAAGCTTTTTAAGTCAATTACTGTTAGAAAATTTTTTGATTAAAAGTACTTTAACATTAACGTTATGAACTTGTCTTGCATAATATCATAATACGTTTTACGCACAAATAAAAGCTTGCTTTAAAAATACTTTTTTTTAGTATATTTTACATTTTAGTTTTATCTCATTTTTTTCAATTTCTGATACGTATTGCAAGTTGTTTTTCAGCAGCCAGCTTCATCATTACCAGAGCTTGATCTGGAAAGCGTCCAGTACCAAATTTCTTATAAAGACGGATCTAATGAGCCCAAACAGTTACGTAATTTTATCACCAAGTTCCTATGACCACTGACCACCTTCCGATTTCATCATCATATCAACTCACTGGCACCATAATATTGCATTGTTATATGATTTATATGTTTATACAAAATTTCAAATCTATCGGACATCGGGAAGTGGTTCAAATTTGAGTTCCAAGATTTGCGCACTAACTAACAAGGCAAGTAAAATAAAGCTTGTGTAAATAAAAACTACATGAGCGGTCAACTAATATAAAAGTTCCAGACCAACTTTAAAATAACGTTCTTAAATTTGTGGTAATTTTTATTTGTTATCAATAAATGACGGCGGTACACATTACACATGCGTACCACATTGACTTGAAATGTCGCATGACGTCACACCATTGTACATTTTCTTAATAGCTGTAACGTAGCGAAGCCCCACTTCTCAACTTGATTGAGTATTATCTAAGCCATTTATTTCTTCTTAAATTGAAGCAACAATGCCCGACTGCGTGAAAACAAAAGAAAGAAGTGAAAAAAAAAAAGAATTATTACTTAAAAAAATTAAGAAAAAAGTTGCCCTGTAGTTTGTAATGGGTCCTGAGTGTTGTTCTTTCTATTCTGCTTTTGAATTCATGTTTTATGTGTGTATAGATTTTACAACTATTTCAATAGTACTTAATAACATTCCAAATTACTGGGCATGTTTTTTTTTTTCTTTTTAGTTTCTAGTGAAAGTAATTATATTTTTTTCACTTCTTTCTTTTGTTTTCACGCAGTCAGGTTTTTGTTTTTTTTTATAATTAAATTTTTATTTTACATTTTTAGTTAGTTTTTATTGACTTCGTT